CTCCCCCTCTCCCTGGTCGCCTTCCCTCCTCCTCCTTCCTCCCCTCCTCCCCCTCCTCCCCCTCCCCCTTCCCCCTCCTCCTCCTCCTCCTCCTCCTCCTAGGCCCAGAGGGCTAATGGCAACCGTTTTGGTCTCGGGCTGAGGCGCGCGCGTTCCGCCTTCCCAGGTTCGGACTTGCAGACCGCGGTGGGCATGATGTACCTGATGGCAGGGAGCGCTAAGCTTTAGCTCACTCCCTTGCCGAACGGGCGAGGCGACTGGCTCCGCGACCGAGGCGACGCCTCAACCATCCAGGACGGACAGGTGTCGGTCGAGACCAAGGGGATCTACAGCGGCGCTCGCGGTGGCGCGCGGATGAGACCTCAGGCGCAGACCTTCGCCAGCCCCCCTACCGCGCCGATGTGACTCCTGCACTGGGCGCCCTTGATTGAAGGGCGCCAGCTTGCGCGTGAGGGCCCGAAGAACGCGGGCAACACCAAAGATCGCTCGTCTGTCGTGAACGGGATCAGGGACTGCAAAGTCTACCGCTTCGACATGCCAGACTTCGTGGTAGACTCCCTGGTCTCGTTGGGGAACGACACGAATGCAGAGGCGTCGGGGATGACATGTTTGCAAGTGCACCGTTCTCCTGAGAGAGCCCCCGCCAGCTGGGCACGCGCGCGACGCTTCCGACAAGAAGTGGACGGTCAAGGGTCTCGGGCAGGGCGTTTACGAATCCAAGAAGCTTGAGCACGTCAACTCTATGTTCAAGGGGACGGCGGCAGCGGCTCGACTAAGAGTAACCCCAGGTGGCCATAGATCAACGCGTTCGAGAAGTGCGCTTCGTTCTTCAGGGATACAAGCCTGATCAAGCTCAAGAATGGCGATGCTCTGTGGCTTGCGCACAACAAGTGGCGCCAGCACCCCGCAGACTTTCCCACAATCCAGGCTGAGAAGACCAGGCGGAACATTTTCAAGAGTAACCACACAGTCCTGAAGGCCACTGGTTGGTCGCACCCCGACCTCGCGCTGGATATTTTGAAGTGCCTCCTGCCTCGTTTGCCGAAGGCGCGGAAGCGCGGCTTGCTTCAGAACGGCTTGGCGCATGTCGCTTCGTTGTCCGAGGACGCAGCGGTGGCGTTGGTGTCGCCAGTGAAGAACGACAAGTTAGCACAGCATATCACGGACGAGGACATCACATCACAGAAGAAAGCGTAGAAAGATGCAGAGAAAGCTGCTGCATCGGGGAAGAAGAAGATCGCTTCCCCGCGACAAGCCCTCGTGGAGGAAGCCCGGCAGGGTGATGCCATGGTGGCCCTCGTCGACGTCTTTGCCAATCAGTGCAAGGTGACTTGCCGCATGGCTGCCGGGGAAGCGGACGTCATCGCAGCGATGTGTTATACTGCCGTGCTGACAGGCTCGATCACGGTGAGCGCGCATGCGAAGTCAGACGAGCCGTTCACCCCCAAGACGCTTTCGAGTTGGACGGCCCTTCGGCGGGCGATCAAGATGTACGCAGCTTCCCAGACCGCTGCAAACTGGGAGATCGAGGACCCCGACTTCGACGAGGACTCCGACGTCGTGCCGATTACCGACGAGCAGCCGTGCAAGAAGGCAGTGGAGTCCTGGAGTTCGGCTGAGGCGATTGCGTTCTTAGCGGCTTAGCGGGCGAAGGGGAACGCCAGCGCGTGGCAGGAGGGAGTTGCTTACTTCAACGCCAACAAGGTCGACTCGGACCCGAAATGCCAGATGGCCGTCATGTCGGCTACCAATTCGGCACCGATGGAGGCGATGACGAGCGTGGGCGAGCTGAAGTGCGACAGCAGCTACGTCGACGATGCCAAGATTAGCGCGATTGTGGCTCAGGCGGCTTGGCCGCACATCTCGCACCTCCTGCCCGACGACCTCGCCTTCGTCTTCGACGCCATGGATCGCCTGGAGAAGCAATCTGGCTTCGAGGCGTTGTTCAGCGCAGAGACCTCTTCGACATGCGCTGACGCGTTCAAGTCGTTGGAGGCCCTGGGGGCCACGCGCGACGCCATCAGGACCTGTAACTTGCTCCGACACATTATCCTACTCATTCTCTTTGTCTGGTTTGCATGGGCTTCTTTTCCTGCCGCCCCTCAGGATTCTTCATGCGAAGTACTGGCTCATCATCGTGCTGGGGATGGGCGCCACGCCATCCAGGAGCATTGTTGAACCTGACAGCACTGCAATTGCGATGCGGACTCTCGCGCCGAGGCAAGCGTCGGCATTCGCTGAAAGCCCGCTAACCTCGGGCTTCTTGAAGGTGGCGGGGGACAGCCCAGATAACCGCGTGACGGAGTCGTTCGCCAAGAAGCTGATGAATTAGTTGCTTGCTTGCTACCAGTTCATAGCGACGTACAACCTGGCAGAGTTCAACGTCAAGAAAAGCGAGTACGCCTTCAGGCTTCAGAGGATGACCTCGGTGGAGCTCGCTCAGGCAGCTAAGGCGCCCAAGTTCGAGTGCCCGAACCTCGGCGTCTTTCCTGCGGGGCGCGGCGGGGTCGAGATGAAGCTCGCTGCCAAAGGGCCACCAGGACGAGGCGCAGGCAGCTGAGTTGCGCGGAGTTGGCGTGCCAACTGGCGTGGCCGCAGCAGCGCTTTGCCGCCGCCTACGCGCCGCTCTGGTTCCAAAGCAGCAGCTGTCCCCGAAGAGAAAGGGGACGCCAAACCCTGACGGTCAACTTGTCGCACTTGGCGCCGCAGACGAAGCCGGCCAGGACAAGAGAGGCGCGGCCGAGGTGCCCACCATCTTCGCGCACGCCATCGAGGACGAGACGGCGAATGTCGAGGAGGGGGGGGGGCAACGTGTTCGAGAAGTCGCTGGCCTTGTGCAGTGGCGACAGCTTGATCCTTGGAGGAGACGATTCGGTTCTGGTGAAGTTTAGGGGGACGTCGGGAGCTACCGACGTGGGAGACCTTACCAGCTGCGCGATCGTCGCGAAGCTGCTCTGCTCCAAGTTCCAGAGTCACCTTCTTGAACTTGCAGCTGTTGGCGCGGCATGCCTGAACGCCCACGGCGATGCCTACGCCACACTGGCTACCGACAAGGCTGGCAACCAGAAGATCGAGGATATTCTCCAGGCTTCGGATGGCAAGTCTGACTTCCTCATGCGGGCCAGGGTCGTGACAAGGGCCGTGGCTAAGAACGCTGCGCGCCAAAATTTGATCCACCTGGGCTGCAGCCATGGCGTTGATCTGTTTCTCGATGGGACTGGACACTTCGAATACTTGAGGGCGATGCGTGCTACGGCCGGTACGTCAAGCCAGTGGCAACGCCCAAGACCAAGGCTTCGGCCAAGGCCAAGGCGAAGCCGAGCGTCGCGCCTTCAGAGGTCCCCACGCACTATGTCAAGTACACGCCCTGGGCCACGCAGATCACTGTGAATGACAAGAAGTATGACTTCCTGTATGCTCTCCCAACTCTTGTCAGGATCGCTGAATCAGATTCCAGTGGCAAGCCTTTGAGGAGGGCGCTCAATGACGTGGATACAGACGCGGAGTTTGTTCCAAGGAAGGCGTTATACCTTCCAAAAAGCCCCGCGTTTCCAAGGTTACTAAGTTCGCTTCCAAATGAGCTTCTGCCTGACATGTGCCCTTTGGGCTCGGCAGCTTCGCAAGCGCACCACATCCTCCTCCTAACTCCTAACCCCCTAACCGTCCACCTTCTCATATCTCCCCGCCCCTCGTCCCCAAACCGTGAGAATGTACCCCTTCTGAAGTACTCCTCGGAGGTGCCGAATCTGGTGCCATTGGCAGTTGAGCGCTCGGGTGGCTGACTCTCTCCCGCCTCCTGCGTACCCCTCGTCTGACCCTCGTCCTATCATCCATCTTCTGGCTCCGGCTCAGCTCCCACTCAGCGCCACGCGAGCTCTGACTAGTTGAGCATGGAGGCCTGCCGAGTGTGCGTGCACAAGGCGGAGGCATGGGGTTTGCTGAAGCCTAACTCTGAACGCCGTTCCCGAATGCTCTGCGACCGCCGCAGTTTCCCAGCGTTGACAACCTCGGAATCGGGAGGATTGAGACTGAGACCAAAAAAATGAGGATGATGAGAAAGAGGGTGTTGATGCTGACGTCTGCTGGGATACATGTGCCTAGGCCCCAGGGTTTGACAAAACACAGGTGGTACTCCTTGTTGTCCTTCTGATGCTTTGCCCTTCATCCTTCTCCTGCCCCTCAGCTCGTCGTCGTCGGGCGGTTTCTCCTGTGTTGTTTTTGTAAGCGGCGATGCGCGAATTTTGGAGAAAAAAAAAACAAAAAAAAACATATGAAACTCGACCGTGGGACCGCAGTATTTGTAAGAAAAACACAGACCAATTGTGAAACATACAACAAAGCATGCGTGAGTTTTTTTGATATTTGGCAGCTTGGAAAGCTAAGCCGCCAAGAACGCGAATCAATACGAAAAGCTCTTGGATCCATGCCCTCACAGGGTTATCATCCCCCTTCCGTCTTGGAAGGGATCAAAGGGAAGGGGCTTCCCGTCGACTCAATTACGACGTTGTTCAATTTGAGGTGGGAGGGGGAGACGGCGACGACTGTTAAAGAAAACGCAGGATACGGCGACGGCGACGGCGCGCAACAACCACGAGGGACAGCACTGGGGTGGGATAGCGAGGGGGGCAACAACCACGACAAACAGCTCATTCTACACGCCGACAAGGTCGGCGGATTTTGTGTGCCGCATTTCACCAGCCCGAATGTGACGCGATCCCACGGATACGTTCCGCGCGGGGCATCCTTGAAAAACTCCTCGTGTCCGTGGGGTCGCGGCTCAGGGGCCCAGCCCGCGAGACAACGGATATTCGGGAGGAGGAAAAACACACAGACATAATGAATCGTAGATTCCCCAAAAATATTGGGAAATATGGAAATTGGGCGGGAAGAGAAAAACCCCGAACATGTAGGAAAATATGGGGAATCTGTTTATTTGTGTGTATTTATTTGTGTGTCCCAGGGCCCCTTCTGATACGGGCAATGCCGTTCGCCCCCGAGAGGAGGCGGCTGGAGTAGCCACGGCGCCGCCGCGCCCAGCGCCGCCGCCGGGCCAAGCGAACACAAGCTGTTCGTGGGCAACTTGCCGCCAGGTATCTTGGACGAGGAGTTGAGGCTTCGGTGCGATCGAAATAGGTAAGGAAATAATGGTCGGTGTTGTTTAACCAATCCCCATCCCCTTCGAGACCTCCACCAAGTTACCACCCCATTGGGGATACACCCCTCGAAACCTGAAGGGAACGGCCCATCTCCACATCTAGGGGGGTAAATCTGCCAGTGGGGCCCAGGCCACGCCGCTGGGGATGGGGGTCGGATGCCGACAGCATCCCGGGCTCATTTTGAACTAAGTTCTTGTCGGCGTCGCCGCGGACGTCGTCCACTCGACAGACAAGGCCGCCTGCCCAACAGTGGCCGCGGTCGGTGTTGGGCAACGTGTGCTGTTGGGCCTCATACCCATGTGCTCCGTACCCGCGTCGGGCGTCCAACAGGCGGAGCGGAGGACAGTCACAGGGGGGGGCTGCGAGGCCCGAGGCGCTCGGACGTTCCAGCCTCGGGGTGTGCCCTCCGCCCCGCCGAAAGCAGTCTGGCGGTGTTTAGACCTTCCCGATCGGCCGCCAGTCTTTTGCAAGCATGGGCTGTGACAGTGGGGCTGGCATACAAGAAGAAAGAGAGAAGAGAAGGCTGGGCACGTGACCGCCCCACGACCTGGACGGACGGAGTCGCAAGGCCTACTTCTGGGATCCAGAGCTCTGCCAAGGGGGCCCGAAGGAGGCCACGCGGGCCCAGAAACAGATGGACGGCTTCTCTCTGAGGGGCTACCGCCCCACCGCCGTCCTCTCTGGGAGGCGGTCCGCTCGCGCGCGGAGCGGAGTCGGCGCTCGCCTCGCTTCGCCGATCTGCGGCCCGAGAGCCGAGTCGGGCAGGAATTGATGTACCCCAGACTTGGAACCCTCGCCTTGGCATCGCTCGGACGTGTGCATTTTTCCCTCGGCGAGGACGACCGAGGAGCATCCTTGATCATTTCGCGAAAAAGCCACGCGCGAAACCGAAAAAAACACAGGAAATGAACGTCCGAGCGATGGCCAGTCGCCGGATCGAGGAAAATTGTGCAGAATAGTCGCAGATCTGCCTACATTCGACGCACTTGCCTCGCAGGTCCGAAGAGGGAATCCATGCCCGGGTGCAGCAATTTTGTGGTCGGTCTCTTGCTCGACGAAGGGGGTGGGGATGCTCCGTGGGGGGGCGGTCATCGGCCCCCAATCGTTCATTCCTCGCCCAGGGACGTGCGGCGTCGCCGTCAGGGGCCCTGTCGCTGGTCTAGCAGCGATATGCGTTGTCCACCCGCAATGGGCACCCAAGGGTACCCTTACAAAGGGCAAAAAATGTGCATCCAAGGGTACCCTTACAAAGGGCAACAACAACTCGACGACGAAAAATCGCCATAAACATAACATTGTGGGAGCAATCAGGGCGTCTTTCAAGTTCGGCTGCACCCTTGCACCCTTAGCCAAGGGTGCAGCCCTTCACCCTTGCACCCTTGCACCCTTAGTCGCTAAGGGTGCAGCCCTGCACCCTTGCACCCTTGCACCCTTAGCTAAGGGTGCATCCCTGCACCCTTGCACCCTTGCGCCCTTAGCCGCTAAGGGTGCAGTCCTGCACCCTTGCACCCTTAGCTAAGGGTGCAAAGGTGCACCCTTGCACCGTTGCACCCTTAGCCGCTAAGGGTGCAGCCCTACACCCTTGCACCCTTGCACCCTGAGCTGGAAGTCGGCGGCTTTACCCCGCACCACTGAATGGCAGCCTGCACGGCCGCCGAGCCCAGAGGGGACAAAACTCACAGGGGGGCCATGGGGAGTGGACGAGGGGCAGGCGGAACACATTGGAAAACAGAGCCACTTCCCCTCAGTTTCTCCTCGTCCTCCTTGCCCCGTCCTTGCCGCTCCTCCAGATTCCTTCTCCCACTCTGGTTCCTCCCTCTCCTCCTCCTCCTCCTCCTCCTCCCTCCTCCTCCTCCTCCTCCGTGGCCATGTTGGCTCAAGATGCCTGCATTGAGGGGGCTCTGCGCCTCCGTGCCTGCAGGGATTCCGCTGTCACCGCGGCAGGCAAGGCAGTTTTGCCTGGCAGCACTTTTGTGCCTTCACTGTGGGATCTGGGCCCCCACACCCGCAGCCCCATTTCACTCGCATCATTTTGTTGCCGCTGGGATGGCCGCGAGTGACGGAACGAGGAAGTCGGTCATCAAGTCTGCTGGCAAGCCTTCTCGTGGTGGCTCTCGCGTCGTGCGCTCGGCTGGCACTTGTGCATCCTCACCTGGGGCTGCTGCTGCCTCCAGCGGCCCTGAACAACACTCCCTGGTTGACGGTTCAGATGATGACATGTCCGATGCCCAGATCCGCACCATCTGCGCCGAATTGCCCAAGGAGGAAGTTTCAGCTCTGCAGAACCAGTTCGAGTCCATGGTCGTTGCCACGGTCAAGACCACTGTACATGAAGAGGCAGGGGCTATTACATCAGCCTTCACGAAGAATTTCGACGAGTGCCTCAAGAAGTGCCAGGACGACTTAGATCGGCGCCAAGATCGACGAGCGCATCACCTCCGCAGTGGCCCCGAAAATGGATGAAATCCGACGCGAACTCACAGCCAGGATCGATGACATCCAGTCGCAGGTGCTGCACCATAACAATCGTTTCGCTGGACCTGATGAGCTATTCGGACAGATGGCAGCTCAGATCAAGCGCTTGGAGGAGACTTTGGTGGTGGCAAATTTTCAATCTACGCGTCCAGCTCAGATCCAGTCTACACAGTTCGACAGGGACACCGACGGCACGATCATCCGGGTCTCAGCTGGGCAACTGGTGTCTAAGGATGCGGTGTTGGCTGGACTTTCTCCGTGTTTGTCCGAGGTCGGCTTTGACAGCGACAAGTACGAGCTCCAGTCTGCCGATCCCCTTGCGAAGCAGTTCATTCTCAAATTCACAAGTGCTGCTGACTTGGCTGCCCGTCGTGTGGGCAAAGCTTTGCAGTCCCTTCGCGGCAGTGGCGGAACCTGGCGGTCATTCGCTGTGGCTGCACACGGCGGTGGAGGGGATGCTCGACTCCATATCTCGCAATATAAAAATCCGCGTCAGGTCAAGCTCGAGATCCTCGGCCACAGGACCAAGCTCGCCTTGCAAGGGGAGCTGGCTGGCCGCAAAGTCTTCATCGATCGTGATCGTGGATGGATTTCAGTTGGCCGGGATGCACTATGCAAGATCGAGCCGAAGCAGGGCGCGGAGAAGGCGGAGCTCAGGTGGAACATGGCGACGATCTGCAAGCTTGGAGTGCCCAAAAGAGTCCCTCGTTGCTCGCGCAAACCAGATCTTCGAGCCTGATGCTGAACCTGAGTGGTGTCTTTGACAGATTCGTTGAGCTGCTGCCGGGGTCGTCGTCACAGGCGTTATGTGATATGATCTCGGTGGGTGGCATCAATTTCACGACGTGGAATTGCAGGGGTGTGGGAGGGCTCATGCATCTGAGAAGCTGGGTTATATGATTAGGCTGCGCCCCGGTTCCTCTGTCGCGTCGTTTCAGGAGGTCCATCAAAACGAGGTCCAGCTGAGTGTATGTTTGCAGCGTGTGCTCCCAGGGGCTATGTTTTTTAGTTTTTGCGGAGAAGATCGCGAGGGCCGCGCCCGAGGGGGTGTTGCCGCGGTCATTCCAGGGATTCTAACTCCAGGGGGTCCCACCCCTACTCTTCCTCTGGGCGTCTCCTCCTCCTCCTCTGCTCCGATTCTTGGCGGGGTCTTGCGCGTGCTGGGTGCGAGTGAAAATGCGAAGATAATTCACTGGAGTATTCATAATCATGAGCTCACGACAGCTCAAGTTCGGGACGCGCGCAATAAAATATCCAGGGACCGGGCCGAGTCTGAAGCAAAACCCTGAGGGCTGCTTAACAGTAGTCACAAGCGGCTTTTGTTTTGCGTCCGAGGAAAAGCTGAGCTTCTCGCAGCCATCTGAAGCTCAAAGAACGCTCGTTCCCTGCATGCGCAGGCGCCGAGATGGCGCGACACTCTTGACGCACTTATTGAGATATTCCCTGCTGCCGCCACCCACTATGATAAACAGGCGGATTCAGTAGCCGTGATCGACCGCTTCTGGTGCTCCTGGCCTGGTTGGATGATGACACAAATTTACTCGCGCGCGAGAGTTGCGGGCAACCCCGAGGAGCTTTCGAAAGGCAAGGTGAATGATCATGCTGCGCTGGTCGTCGCGTTTCTCCCCCGCAAGATCCCCAGCGAGTTTGATCGACCCATCCCGGAGCATATTGTGAGATCTCCTATGTTTAAGTCTGTTCTTGGGAAGTATATGGAAGTTGAGGCTGAACATATTGAGGCAATGTGTCCCCCTCGTAGATTGGAGCGTTAAAAAATGTTGATGCAAGAGGCCAGTCGAGTTGCCCGCAACCCCTTGACATTCAAGAACCCGCATGATCCGCGGACTCTTTTACTCCTTGCTCGCGCCCTGGCTCGCGCTGTGCGGCGCCAAGATTGTGAATATGCCGAGGTATTGTTGAGCTCGCACGAGATGGCCCCAGACTTTATCAAGATCTGCGGCGGCCAGGTGCGCCCGCTCCACCCTGCCTCGTTTTAAAGATGGTCGAACGAAGCGCAACTCAAAGCTGCTGATTTGGATCGCGCTTCGGCGCAGGCTCGGCTCGACCAAGCTCAGGATGTTAGTTCCAGGACTCGTCTTCGTCAGCAGATTCCAGCAATCGATCGTCGTGCTCGACTTCGGGCCCCGTCTTCCAGGATATTGATTTTGAGAGCTATTATTGTCGATGGGATCAGGATGGAGGATGCGTCGGATCGTGCTGCTGCTCTTACCAAGCATTGGGGCTCTCTGTTTGCTCGGAAACCATGGCCTGCTCAGACTGCTGCTGCTTGCGTCAATCGCTTCGTGAAACCCGTCAGCTTCGAAGATTGCCCGCCGCCATCTCTTGTTGTTCTCAGGAAAGTTGCACATCGTGTCAGTGATTCCGCTCCTGGAGTGGATCGTCAATGCTGCGCTGCCTGGCTTGCTCATCCCTTTGGGCTTCTTGTGCTGCACGACGTCTTCTTGTGGACGTTATCGGGCA